GGAAGGAAGGAAGGAAGGAAGGAAGGAAGGAAGGAAGGAAGGAAGGAAGGACAATAGCACTTAGAGTTATATGCCACTAGACAGTGCAGTTTTACAGAGCCCGCTTCTTGCCCCCAGCAATCTGGATCCTCATATTACTCATCTCAGAAGGATGGAAGGCTGAGTCAACCTTGAGCCTAGTGAGATTTGAACTGCCAAATTTCAGGCAGCTGGCAGTCAGTAGAAGTAGCCTACAGTACTGCACTCTAACCACTGCACCACCAAAGCTCATAAGAATGTTTGCTCCCAACCCAGAGAATGTTGCTTACACAGTTTTGGGATTCAAATAATTTAACCACCAGTTCTCTGCCCTAATGATTTCTTCCAACAACCAGTTCAACCAGACTGCTGAGAAAGTTAACAACCGGTTCTCCCTGAAGTGGTGCGAACTGGTTAAATCCCACCACTGTGCTCAACCCAATTTTTGCAAAAAATTTCAGGGTGCAGCAGGGAGGGGACAGATTGGGAAAGGATCCCTAAGTTTCCTTCCCTCCTGGCTGGCTGTACTTGGCTAGCCCTGCTTCATGTCTTCTTCTTGCCTGCTGCGAAAAAAATTGGTCACTCAATAAAGTCCAATGCAAAAAGAAAGGGAGAGAGGAGGAGAGAAAAAAAGGAAGATGGAGGGGAAGAAGAAAGAGGTAAGGAGAGGAGGATGGAAGGGAGAGAAAGAGAAGGAGAGAGGGTAGGAAGGGGAAGGGGAAGAGTAGAAGTAGGAGAAAGGTAAGGGAAGGAGAAAGGGGAAGGAGAGGAGGATGGAAGGGAAAGAAAGAGAGAGGTTAGGAAGGGGAAGAGTAGGAGTAGGAGAAAGGGAAGGGAAGAAGGAAGGGGAAGGAGAGGAGGTTGGAGGGGAGGGAAAGAGAAGGAGAGGGTAGGAAGGGGAAGAGTAGGAGAAAGGGAAGGGAAGAAGGAATGGGAGGGAGAGGAAGATGAAAGGGAGAGAAAGAGGAGAGAGGGTAGGAAGGCGAAGAGTAGGAGTAAGAGAAAGGGAAGGGAAGAAGGAAGGGGAAGGAGAGGAGGAAGAAAGTAGAGAAGGGAGGGAGGGATAAAAGAAAGGGAAAACAAGGTGGTGTTACAAAAGGAGGAAGGGATGGTAAACAAAGCAACCCAAACTATATATTACAACCTATTAAATGAAATAACAAATGTATAAGAATGATAAACGTAAAGAAGAATAACAATTATGTGAATGTATACTTAAAATGGTATATAAGTGAAAATAAAAAATAAAAAATTCTTTGGGGAAAAAAAATTAAAGTCCAATACTTACTTGGAACTCCCTAGGATAAAGTTTTCCTGTTTTACAGGCCCTTCTGAGCTGCTGGCTGGCAAATTAAACCGATGGGAAGCTTCCTGGGTGAGAAAGAGAAGGAATAAGAAATAGGGCCAGAGGCACTAGTAGCTCTGAATATTTCTTTTCCCTGAGACAAAGAAAGTGAAAGCAGCATCCTGTTGTCTGCAAGGTAAAGGGCAAACCCTTCTAGCCCTGATGATGTTACCTAGTTGGGTCATGAAATGTTTGCAAGAAAACCACCAAGCTCAGAGAGCACCAAGGTAAAGATAAAGGTTCCCCTCGCACACATGTGCTAGTCATTCCCGACTCTAGGGGGTGGTGCTCATCTCTGTTTCAAAGGCGAAGAGCCAGCGCTGTCCGAAGATATCTCCGTGGTCATGTGGCCGGCAGGACTCAAATGCCGAAGGCGCACGGAACGCTGTTCCCTTCCCACTAAAGGTGGTTCCTATTTTTTTTCTTGCATTTTTACATGCTTTCGAACTCCTAGGTTAGCAGAAGCTGGGACATGTAGCGGGAGCTCACTCCGTTACACGGCGCTGGGGATTTGAACAGCTCAACTGCCGACCATTCTGATCGACAAGCTCAGCGTCTTAGCCACTGCGTCCCCTATCAGAGGCATTAGTAGCTGAAAATATTTCTTTGTCCCAAGTCAAAGAGAGTGAAAGTACCACCCTGTTGTCAGCAACCCCCCCCCCCCAAGTCAAGGATAGAAAGCATCCATTCCTGCCCTGGCTTCCATTAGCCGTGCACAGATGCTTCACAGCTTTTCACCACTGCGAGTTAAATTCAACTCACTCATTCAAGATGTGTTCCAGCCCACCAGATCAATATGATGAATAAATCATTAGTAGTCTGCTTAGAAATCCCAGCCAAATAACTTCACCCACCCGCATGGACACGACATAGCGGGCAAAGGAAGAAGGGGGTGGGGGGAAGAGTCCAGCTTCAAAGAGGGCAAGATCAAAAACACAGCTTCTTTGGGGCTCTTTAAAGCAGCCATGTCCTTCCCCGGGTGATGTGGGGCAGTCGCAGCTGTGGCAAGAAAAATGGTAAAATGGGGCAAAACTTGCTCAACAAATTTCTCAGAGAGCAAAGTGAATTTTGGGCTCAATTGTGATCGTACATCAAGGACTCCCCATGTTAAAGCAGCAAAACTGGAAGGAAAAGGCCCCGATCCTTAGAACAATTTTGTTTGTAAGCACCTTTAGGATTTCTTGCAGCTGACGAAGGACGGAGTGAACTTCCTCCCCTAAAAGCCATTTAAATTCTTCTTCCTGGAGAGGGAGAGAGAGAGAGAGAGAGAGAGAGAGAGACAGAGAGAGAGACAGAGAGAGAGAGAGACA